GGATGGGTGGATGGATGATCTAATCCCACTGCCTAGCACGGCCAGGTAGGAAAAAGGTGCAGTCTTAGGGCCCACCTGATGCTGTGACACCATCACCCCACTCCCTGGGAGAACGGAGGACAGGGCAGAGAGGCCGCTACAGAAAGCCACAAGGGATCCGGCACAGGGGTGGAACAGCAGCTGGTGCTGGGTCTGTCTGCGCATGCGTGGCCCAGGGCTGTGTAGCAGACGCCTGCACGCCGGGCAGCTCCAACACCAGAGATGTACTCTCTCACTGGTCCCAAGGAGAGACCTCAGAACAGAGCTGTGGGCAGGCCGTGCTCTCTGCGGGCTCCAGGGAAGGGTCCTTCCTGTGCTCTGTGGCTGCGGGCAATCCCGCCGCTCCCACTGCCGTCCCCGTCACCACGGGCATCCTCTGATGGCCTCTGGGTCTCTGTTTTCTCTCCTTAGGGAACACCAGTCAGTCTGACTTCACCCTAACTCACGGTCTCTCTGAAGACTCAGTTGCTAGGTATCTGCGGTTCTGGCTGGACAGGAATTCTGGGGGAGCGTATTCAGCCCAGCCCACCAGGAGAGGACCCCCCCACTCCTCCCCACCCCCGCCGCCGCGATTCTGAGCACAGTGACTTCTGTTCAGGGGTAGCTGAACCCAGGCCTGGAGTTTGAGAAGAGACGGGAGGGAAATCTGCGTCCACACGTGCCCTGCCCACTCGCCCTGCAATCCCAGAGTCTCCTGCATGAGGGGGGCCTCGGGGGGCCTCGGGGGGCCTCGGGGGGCTCGTGAAAGCACAAGTCCAGCCCCATCGGCACGTCACACACAGAGGACAGAAAGCAAAACCAGGACAGCGCAAGTGGGGGCGAGAAGAAATAAAATATCTTCCTTCTCCTCCGCTCCCCCGGGCGACCGTGACCTCCAAGGTGAGTCAGCCATCGTCAGAAGCGTCAAACCAAGGGCATCGGCAGGGGAAGGAGGAAGAGGGGCAAGAGATGGCCTTGAGCCCGCACGACGGGCAGGCCCTCTGCGAACAGGGCCGCCGTCAAGCTTCACCATGTCTACAGCTCAGGAGGGGAAGCAGCTGCCAAAAGCTCACTAAAGCGGGAGCGGCCTCTCGGCCTGCTGGGGAGTAGCGGGGTCTTCTCACAGAGCCTGCGGCTGTGACAGGCAAGGCCCCAGCCAGCCGGGACGGGAGAAGGGACAAGGTGGCAGCTCGCGGTCTAGCCAAACAAAGCCAGACTTCGCACCCGTCCTGCCACAACCCAGAAGCCCATGAGACAGGAAGTGAGAGGGAGGAGGGACAGAGACCGGAAATGTTGGGAAACAGAATCGAGACGTGGGTGGGGGAGGGTTCAGTCTTAGCAACGGTGTGGGGTCGGGGGGGACGGCAGCAAGAGGAGGATTCCGTCTGCTGGGACGAGGAGGGTCTTCGGGAAGAGAGAGGTTGATTGGCGGGCCTGGGGGTGGGGGAGTATCTCTGCTACAGGCCCTAACGCCCCTCTGGGGTCCCCAGGCCTCCTGCATGAGCTCCCACGCCAACCGGCCTCAGCGGAGGCTGTTCTAGAATCTAGAGGAACCGGCAGGATGGCCTAGTTACGAAGAGCAGACGTAGAGGAAGAGTGGGAAGCAGGGGCAGGAGGAAGGCAGCGGCCCCAGAGCTCCTGGGGACCCGGGACCCTCCACAGGCACTGTCGTGGCGGCGTGAGCAGGGGCTGTGTTAGGAGAGGACGACCCCAGACGCGGACGGGCTGCGTCACAGTCCTCCAGGGAAGGCGCGACTCCGTGTCACAGCAGAGACAGCCAAGCATGGCGCATTTCCTCAAGTTGCCCGAGGCCACCGTGGAGGAGCAGACGCAGAACCGGAACCCACGTCGGACCTAAGCCGAAGCTCAAACCCTGTGCCCCCAGGCTTCCTCTCAGAGACGGCAATGACCTTTTCTCTGAGGCCCGGCGACAAGTAAGAGTAAAACATGGCGATTTACTTCGCAGCTCAAAACCCTCTAGAAAGATTATTCACAAAGTCTTAAAAAGCACCAGCCCCCTCCTCTGCCCCCAACAGAGTTCGCAGGAAGACGGGAGCTGGGGAGGAGCAGGACAGAGAGATGCAGAACAGAGCTGCGTGAATTCTTCACGCGTGTCCCAGGGAGCACGGACCCCAGCCAGCTGTCCTGAGACCCCAGGTCGCCACAGGTGAGGGCACCTGAGTGGGCTGGGCCTTCTCCACCTTGGGCCTTCTGAGGTTTGATGAAGGAACCTCGCCTGCTCAGGGGTGGGAGCAAAGCTCACTTGAGCCTTGGGGCCACCTGGGCCTCACATGCTAGCACCACCATTACCAGGTAGCGCGTGGGAACGGCCAGCTCCCCTCTGGGCGCACTAAGGAACTTCCAGAAGAATAACTAGAGGGTGGAAACAGAACCGCGCTGAGTCAGCAGCTGAAATCCTCCCGGGCCTCCCCACGCGGCTCTGTCTCCGGAGCGTCTCCATCGCCCTCTGGACCTCTCTCCAAATGCACCCAAGAACATCCCAGGGAGCTGCTCCTTCCCTGAGACTCTCCCGGCTGCTGCAGCCCTTCAGCCACAGCAGAGGAACCATGACCCCGCTCTTCAGAGCGAGCAGAGCGAGACAGGCTGAGCAAGGCCGGGGCAAAGAGGGCAGAGCCCCCGGCTGCCTCCCTGAAGACACCTGCCACCCCAAGTCTGCACACAGAGCCTGGGAGAGCCCCACAGGTTCAGCACGGCTGCAGGCCTGACACCTGCCACCCCGAGTCTGTGCACACGGAGCCTGGGAGAGCCCCACAGGCCCAGCGCGACCGCAGGCCTGCCACCTGCCACCCCGAGTCTGTGCACACGGAGCCTGGGAGAGCCTCACAGGTCCAGCAAGGCTGCAGGCCTGCCACCTGCCACCCCGAGTCTGTGCACACGGAGCCTGGGAGAGCCCCACAGGCCCAGCGCGACCGCAGGCCTGCTACCTGCCACCCCGAGTCTGTGCACACGGAGCCTGGGAGAGCCTCACAGGTCCAGCAAGGCTGCAGGCCTGACACCTGCCACCCCGAGTCTGTGCACACAGAGCCTGGGAGAGCCCCACAGGTCCAGCACGGCCGCAGGCCTGACCTGAGGCTGCAGGCCCCATGCTTGGCTGCCACAGAGGAGGCCCAGATCCCCAGGCGCCAGTGTTTTCAACGCTCTCTCGGTGCCAGCCCTGACCACACGCCCATCCTTCACACCTGCACGCCCACTACGAGCATCGACCTCAGAAACAGTCGTGGACGTGCACACTCAACGTGAAGACTGGCCATGGCGGGGGCAGGGCCATTTCTAGAACCAGCACGCTGGAAATAGCAGCCCTCCCAACTCCTCCAGGCAGATTCCAAACACACGGTGGCACCCGTGGAGCGGGGGTCTCTCGCAGCTTTAATGACATGCAGAACGTTCCGCAGTCTCCTAAGCCCAGACGCAGACCCAGGAAAGTGCGTCTGGTGTGCGGGTAACTAGGTAGGCAGGCACATCTTTCTCACTGACGCAGGGTCTGGTTCTACATACCTGTGGCTGGCAGCGCAAGGCCATGCATGTCACGGGGACTGAGGGGACGTGACAGTGAAATCTGCTTGGAGAACGCAGCAAATATAAGTTCATGGTGGGGGAGGGGGGTGACTACAGACATGGCATCCGAGTTGGCAGTGCCCTGCCCCAGGCGGTGCTGGGAGGGACTGGAAGACCCCAGGTAGCCAGGCCACATCTCACACGAGGCAGGAGCACCAAGGCCTCTCTGGCCAAGACGCCCCTCCTTGTGCCCTACAGCCTGGCTGTCGGGGAGCAGGGATGTGCAGGGTCCTGTGGCCCTGCTGGGGGCCTCCCGGCAGATTCTCAGGCAGAATGCCATCCCTGGAGATGTCTGGCCAGCAGGGGACCAGAGGGCACAGACTCATAACCTCCGAAGGGCTGGACAGAGCTAGCCTGGAGCCAGGCCAGGCTGGTCCACTCAGAGCAGACACTGGCCTGGACCCCAGTGGGCCGTGGGGGATCCATGCCCCTTTGTTCCTGCCTCCTTGTGGCTACACCCAGACACCATCAAGCAAAACAGGGGCATACCACCATCTACACTGAGACAGAGGCCACCGACTACAGCTATTCAGACAGAAAGAGACTATAAATAGCCAAGTTTAAAACAAACTCTTCCCACCACCTACCCAGAACAGTAGGCTCTGTCAAGGACAATTAAACGTGTTTCCACAAGCCTTTAAATAATTTTCCTTGCTCACTTCTGAGTGGCACTGTTGAGTGAATTTTCAACCTTGAAATAGGCACCATCTTAGAATCACAATAAGCCAACCTACACTTGGCAAAGGACTTCACCACCCCAAATGTTCCCAGTGCTTCTGGGTAGGTGAGGAGAGATTTCTGTTCCTTTTCCTTTTGGCTCACCTCGGTTTTCAAAATACTCTTCAGTAGTCATATCCGTGCATAGCTAGGTGAACGGATGGATGAACAGACAGATGGCAGGCAGGTAGGCAGACAGACCGACAGACAGACTGCCCAATGGATGATTTTTTTTTTTATTTTTTTTTGACAGGCAGAGTGGACAGTGAGAGAGAGAGACAGAGAGAAAGGTATTCCTTTGCTGTTGGTTCACCCTCCAATGGCCGCCGCAGCCAGCACGCTGCAGCTGGCGCACCGCGCTGATCTGATGGCAGGAGCCAGGTACTTCTCCTGGTCTCCCATGGGGTGCAGGGCCCAAGCACTTGGGCCATCCTCCACTGCACTCCCTGGCCACAGCAGAGAGCTGGCCTGGAAGAGGGGCAACCGGGACAGAATCCAGCGCCCCGACCGGGACTAGAACCCGGGGTGCCAGCGCCGCAAGGCGGAGGATTAGCCTAGTGAGCCGCGGCGCTGGCCCCCAATGGATTTTTACAGAAAACAATTGCTTGGTTCACTCTGACTCACCGTGGCTAGGCTACTGTTTCCTGTCGGCACCCCTCCCCGCGCAGGGTACATGGGGGTGAACTCACCTGGCAGTGGGCAGCCAAGGATCTCCATCCTCATACAGATGCTCCCGTTGTCAAACCAGGACTGCGGGTTCACACGGATGTAGCGGGCCACCATGGGCACGGGCAGCACGTTGAGAACCGGGATCTCCTTCTCACTGTTTCCTTCAAATATCTACTTGTGCTCAAAGGGGAAAAAAGGAAACTTGTAGAGCTCAAGTGTCAAGAGGTGAGAGTCAGTAATTCACCCATTCACCAGGGCCTCACCGAGGACCGGGCAGTGTGTGCTGGGAGATAGGCGCTGGGCCTGGGTCCTGTCCCCAGGGAGCCCGGTCTCTGCAGGAGAGGCCATCAGGGTCTCGGCCAAGGGAGGGCCACGGAGCTGGGGGGTTTCAGAAGGAGAGGACCCCGGGCACAGCCTGGAGAGGAGGCGCCGTTCAACCCAGCGTGGAAGGGAAACTGCTCAGATCTGCTGGGACGGAGACGTTAGAGAGGAGGGACAGTGACGGGCGGAGACAGGCGGAGATGCAGAGCGGCGGGCTCACTTTTCCCGAACGAGGCGAGAGGAGAAAGAGGCTTGGAAAAGGAGCTGCAGTCAGCCCGGGCAAGGCGCTGGGTGCCACACTAGGAACACATGCTCAAGGATCTGAGGAAGAGCCACACGGTGAGAACCGACAATGCTGGAACTACTCACGGAGCTAAAAGTCGGGAAACCTAGAGCGGAGTAGCCGCGAGGGCCCCAGCGTGTTCTCCGGGCCACACGGCCTCCCAGGGCTAACCTGGGCTCCGCACGAGAGGGTGCATCCCAGCAGCTCTCTGACGGAGCGACGGCTCTGTTTGACATCGGCCCAGATCTAGGCCACCTGGTGCCAAGCTTCAGGGCACGCAAAGGGGATCACTGTCCACCAGCCTCTCACAGTTGGCTGGAGTGGCTGCAGAGCTGGCCACTCTCCCAAGCACTGAGCAAACGTCGCCTCTGTTTGCACACCCCAGCCAGACAGGCCCCAGGACACAGTCGGGGGGAGAGGGGCTCACCATGTCTCCAGATCCATTCTTGACGGTGACCCAGGTATGGCTATCATTGCTCACCATGACCTTGTAGGAGGTCACCCAGTCACTCCTGCAAGAAAATAAAACACCATGGGACCACGCATGTTGAAAGAGCTGTGGAGGCGAGAAGAGCAGGTGCCAGAGGTAGACGGCGTTGGGTCGAACCCGGGCTCCGTGACACTTCCCAGCTGTGTGACCCTGGCCAGACAAATGACTCATCCACGCCATAGTTTATTCGTCCGTAAAATGAGACATCATAAAAGTGCCAGCCTTAAAGGATTAATGTGCACATTTAATGGTTTGATGCCCTTTAAACCTTCCAGAGAATTCCTAGTCCCTTGGAAGCACTGAATGTTGATCATACTCATAAAGACAGACAAACGTAAGTGCATCTGTTGGTACTAGACAGTCCCTCACACATGACAGAGGCTTAAGGGAGTCCCTGGTGTGACAGCAATCCCAGCAAAGCCTACAAAATGGTCTTGCAATTGCACTTGGGAAACAGATTTGGGGACATGAAGACCTGGATCGCACTGGCCACCAAAGTAGAAGCTGGGATCTACAGAAATGCTGGCTTGCTCACTGGCTGTCACAGCCACACAGGCAACTCCCACACCTGCCAGGACCTGCTGATGGCTGCACCTGCAGCCGGATCCCTGTCACCACCACGTCCCACGGGGGCAGCCGCCCTGTGGAGACGCCACCTCAGAGGCTGGGCTGATGGGTTTGGCCAACGAAAGCAGCCTTCACACGGAAAATCCCTCCCCACACCGCCTCAGTTATTTATAACATAAATTGTGAACAACATAGAAAAGTCTTCCTGCATAGCCCCTTTTTAGTTTTTAAGATGCTGGCTCTAGGCCCCAGCGTGCTAAGTCCTTCAGGAAATTCTGCCAAGCGAGGAATCTGGAGTCCGTTTCCTCCTGTGAGATCTGTCTGGTCCCGGGATCCAGACCCATCCCTGAAAGGTTCTGAGTTTCCATTCTGAGTCAAGATCATCGAGTAAAGTTTATTTAGAGAGAGCAGCTGCTTCTCTTCATTCGGGTTCATCCCACTGACTTGTCACAAAATTATTCTTAGGTGCTTTTACATATGCGTGGAAGCCGACCCTCAGCTCACGCTTTCTCCTCTCTCTGTGTCTCCCAACCCCACCCCCACCCGCCCAGCGCTGGGTGCCCGCCAGAAGGCAGCATCAACCAAACACCACCTTCCCTTCTGAGCCTCACCACCGAGCCCACCGCACACCGAGCCACAGCAGCCTGCCTTTGAAGAAGTCTCTCAGCCGCGGCGCATGTCCTTTGCATTGGAAAATTATCCTCACCCAAGACAGCAACCTGCTCCCCACACCCGAATCCCTCCCGGCGACTGTAACCCAGCCCCCACTGCCGCCTGCTGTTCCGTGGATAATGGTGTTCTGGAGAGCTGACCGCAGCAGGGACGGAGCTGTCCCCACCCGGGGAGGAGGCTGTGCCCACCCGGGGAGAGCTCCAAGGTGGAGGAAGCCCCCCCATTGCCAGAGCATGCGAAAACAAGACGGGTGGAGACAAACGTGAAAATGAGCTCCTCAAAGAAAGGGAGACAAAGCGGGGAAAACCGGAAAAATGAAAGCCAAGCAACAATTCCTCAGCCTTGCCCACAAACAGCGCCCTGTCCGCGGGTGCCTGGCAGCGCCTGCTGGACCTGGCCTGGACCCCTGCCCCACCTACCTGCGCCGCCCCTAAAATCTCAGAGTCCGCTCCACTTAACCCACCCCAAACCAACAGCCTCGCTCCTGCCGTGTGTACCCCAACATGGCAGCCTCAGACACGGGGGACAGGGCGACCCCCAGAGTCTCCCTTGGCACCAAACCTGCCTTCCTCCCCTATGTGCTGCCCATCATCAAGTTCTGCCAGCTTTACCCCTACCGCTTTCTAGAAGGTCTCCAGTTCTAGCTCCATGACCGCGGAGCCAGCCCATCTTCTCCGTCCAGGACTCCTGTGGTCTCTGGCGAAGGTCACCTGGCTCCCCGTCTCTCCTGTGGCCAAGACCTACTTCTCGAATGAAATGCTGTCCTATCACCCTCCTCGGGCTATTAAGCATCTTAGATTGAGTGCACTCTTACCACAGGGTCTGTACCAAATCCTCATGGAGCTCCAGGAGGCCCTTGCTTGGCACTTGTTTTCTGTGTCCTTTCTTCCCCCCCGCCCCCCTACACTGACTGTCCCCTGCCGCCTCGGGGCCTCTCACACGCCATTCCTGCTGTCTGCACTCTGCCTCTGCCCTCCCCTAAATCCAAATCACGCAGCCTTTGTCAGAGCCCCATCGCCACCCTCCAGCGGAGCCAGTTCCTTTCCTGGGGGTTCCCTTCTTTGATAGCATAATTCATTTTGCAACTCTAACCCCCTCACTGGGACTACCCGAGAGTGTCTCGTCCCCCACTGGAGTAGATGCGTCTGGCAGACAGAGCAGGGATGGACCAGAGGACAGGAAGGAAGCTGACGCCCCGGGGAGACCAGGTGAGGGCCGCGGCGCAGGGCCCAGGGGTGGTGGCTGTGCCAGCCGTGTGCTGGGGGTGGCGCTTCCTCTGCAGGCCAGGAGCTTCTCCCAGGTCTCCCACTCGGGTGTAGGGGCCCAAGGACTTGGGCCATCCTCTACGGCTTTCCCAGGCCAGAGCAGAGAGCTGGATCAGAAGAGGACAAGCCAAGACTCAAACCGGCGACCATAGGGATGCCGGCACTTCAGGCTGAAGCTTTAAACAGCTGTGCCACTGTGCTGGCCCCGTGCTGTTTTCAATAAATGTTTGCCTGCTCCAAGATAATAAAGATATCTGCTTGTGTTCTCCAGAGAGCTTTATTGCTTCCCCCTTTGCACAGGTAGATCTGCAATCCGTCTGGAGTTGATAATTGATGGTGTGTGGTAGGGGTCGAGACACATAGCTCTCCGTGGAGGCTTCTAATGGAACCAGAACCATTTATATGCTTATTTTCTGGCTGCACCTCAGTGGCACGTTCGCTGTAAATCACGTGGCTGTAGACGCGTACAGGTGTTTCTGGACAATCTAGCCTGCTCCTTCTCTACTTCCTATCCTATCCTATCCTATCCTATCCTATCCTGAACTCGCCTGGTCTACATCTGCTCACACACGTTTCCCCACTTTAAAGTTCCTGTGACTACTCTCACTCCTTTGAATTCTCACATTCATCCTAGAATCCGCCTACATTTTCCCGAAAGAAAAACAGTCTTCTGTATTTTAACTGGAATGGCAACAAATATACAGATTGGTCTGGGGAACTGACATCTTTATAATATTAAAACTCCTAAGCCAACAACGTGGCTTATCCTGTTGCTTATTTAGGTCTACTTTTGTTGATCTTTTGCTATATATAATCCTAGATTGTTGACATTTTTTATGATTTTATATAAAATATCACTTTGATTTTTTTTATTTGTTGCTGGTAGGTAGATATGGAAATACGTGGTGTGTTGACTTAGTATCAGGCTGTCTATTAAATAGTTAATTAATTCTAATTAATTACATGATCTGAGACAATGACAGTTCTCTTTATTTCCAATCGCTACGTCTTCCGTTTCTTTTTCTCCTTCTGATTCTGGTCAGGATCTCCGGTTCAGTGCTGAATGGAAGGCACTAGCAGACATTCCCAACTCCTTCCTGCAGCTAAAGGAAAGATTTCTCAGGCCGGCGCAGTGGCGCAGTGGGTGAACACCCTGGCCCGAAGCGCTGGCATCCCATATGGGCGCCGGTTCTAGTCCCAACTGCTCTTCTTCCCATCCAGCTCTCTGCTGTGGCCTGGGAAAGCAGCAGAAGATGGCCCAAGTCCTTGGGCCCCTGCACCCACATCAGAGACCCGGAAGAAGCTCCTGGCTCCTGGCTTCAGATCGGCGCAGCTCCGGCCGTTGCAGCCAACTGGGGAGTGAACCAGCAGATGGAAGACCCCTCTCTCTGTCTCTCTCTCTGCAACTCTTTTTTTTTTTTAAAGATTTATTTATTTATTTGAAAGTCAGAGTGACACAGAGAGAGAGGAGAGTCAGAGAGAGAGAGAGGGGTCTTCCACCCGATGGTTCACTCCCTAGATGGATGCAATGGCCGGAGCTGTGCCGATCTGAAGCCAGGAGCCAGGAGCTTCTTCCGGGTCTCCCACGGTGCAAGGGCCCAAGGACCTAGGCCACCTTTGACAGCTTTCCCAGGCCACAGCAGAGAGCTGGACAGGAAGCAGAGCAGCCGGGTCTCGAACCAGCGCCCATATGAGATGCTGGCGCTTCAGGCGAGGGCATTAACCCACTGTGCCACAGCGCCAGCCCCTCTCTGCAACTATTTCAAATAAATAAAATAAATCTTTAAAAAAAATTTTCTCACCACCAAGCAAGACAGCGCCTGCAGAATTTTTCTTTCTTGTTTTTCTTTTAATCAAGGATGAGTTCATTCCTTTTCACATGACAAGAGAGTCTGGATGCTTGTTGCTGCTGGCACTCACTCGGGCAGGCGCGTGTGCCAAAACTGACCTCAATCGATGTTCATTTTTCACAGCTGTCACGTCAGAGCTCTAAGCCATGCCGCAGGAGAACTCGGTGCACATTCATTTTGCATATTTCTACCAAAGGTCCAGGAAGAACTTCATTTTTCACACTTGACTCAAAGTTCTAACAAAACATCAAGACGCAGTCATTTTTGTGCTTCTTGTCCTTAGGTTGTAAGACAGCTGCTTCGGCTCCCTACCGCCGCCACGTTCAGAACACCCTGAAGGAAGTCCTTCGGGTCCTATAAAATCGCTTCCTAAGAATGTGCACTGTCTGTTGTTTGGACTGCCTCAGTTCGCTTTTTCCCAACATAATAAAAACCTCTAGCTCTTGAAATGAGTCAGGGAGCACAGGTTCTGACGTCCCCGAAGGAGCCCCAGACAGATACTGCAGGATGTGTCCTGGCACACCTCCCCCACCCTGCATGAATGCAAGAGACCTACACCTCTGCTTCCTTTAGGAGCTGCTGGCCACACTCTACCCCAGGTTTTCTGTCAATATCTTTCTTCGGATTAAAGACGTTCTTTAAACTGGGAGAAGGAGAGAGATCCATCA